GATCACTCCGGGGTAAAACTTGGACTTGCCCTTATACTGCGCCTCGACCTTCTCACCTTCTTTGAACTTCTTGGACTTCTTGTCGTCGTCAGAGTCGTTTGATTTTTTCTTCGGGCTTGACTTGTCCTTGCTGCGAATGAGGTCCGCTGCGACACCAGTTTCCTTTTCCCCGTCGTCGTAGTCGATGTCGTAGGTGCCGTTGAGCCTCGCCCTTGAAATAACCCCTGGGTAGAATTTGGCCTTGCCCTTGTACTGGGCTTCGACCTTCTCGCCTTCCTTGAACTTTTTGGGCTTCTTGTCGTCTTCAGACGTGTCGTCGGATTTCTTTTTCTTGGGTGATGACAACTCCTTGGACCGAATGAGTTCGGCAGCAACTTCCTTTTCCTTCTCGCCGTCGTCGTAGTCAATATCGTACGTGCCATTAAGTCGAGCTCTCGAGATCACACCAGGGTAATACTTGGCCTTGCCTTTGTACTGGGCTTCGATCTTCTCACCCTCCTTGAATTTCTTGGACTTCTTATCGTCATCGGAGTCACTTGATTTTTTCTTAGGGCTTGACTTGTCCTTGGAGCGAATGAGCTCCGCCGCCACTCCCGTTTCCTTCTCGCCGTCGTCGTAGTCAATGTCGTACGTGCCGTTGAGCCTAGCTCTCGAGACCACACCAGGGAAGAACTTAGCTTTGCCTTTGTATTGCGCTTCGACCTTCTCGCCCTCCTTGAACTTCGTGGGCTTCGCATCATCAGTAGAGTCATTCGACGATTTCTTCTTAGGACTCGCTTTCTCCTTGGATCGAATGAGGTCGGCGGCAACTTCCTTTTCTTTCTCGCCGTCGTCGTAGTCGATGTCATAGGTACCATTCAATCGAGCTCTTGCAATTACGCCAGGGTAGAACTTGGACTTGCCCTTGTACTGCGCTTCGACCTTCTCCCCTTCCTTGAACTTTCTCGTCCTTTTGTTGTCATCGTCCGAAGTGTCGTTGGCTTTCTTCTTCGGACTGCTCGACTTTTCACGTGAGCGGATCAATTTCGCTGCGACTTCCTTCTCCTTCTCGCCATCATCGTAGTCAATGTCGTATGTGCCGTTCAACCTCGCC